GCTGATATCAAATAGATCGTTAAGCCAGATCCTTATAATTTGAGTCCGATACCCACCCAAATTTCGCCTAGGAGTTATAGATCCCTGGCATAGCTTAGTTTATTATAGATACAATCTTACTTGCAGCCAGTTTGAAAGATCTGAATCATCATTTTCTTTTTTTATAGACTAACAGATTCTGAAACATACGAATTTAAATGATCTCAATTTTCTTTTGCATCAGGACTCTTAGCAGAGCCAACATAGTCACTGCAGACCAATGCTGAGCTTTCGTGATTTCAAGAGAAGTTTTAAATAATCTTGATTAGGTCTGAGTCGGAGGAGATCACTGCTTTGTTTTAAATTTTCTCTAAAGAAAAATAAAATTGGAAAGGCCAAACGGTTTAACACAAGTTGGCACAAGGATGTTTGGGAAGCAAATGTTACACATATATGTGGGGATGTGAAGTCCCTGTCACACACTTTAGATGAGCTGAGGGCTCCTATAGTTTCTGGGTAGGATTGCAGGGCATGAGTTGTACTGTGCTGACAGCACCATCTACTGGCATGTATAAGGAATATCATTGTGAGGTTGTTGAGCTGTTTGCTGACCAGCTAAAGGAACTAGGAGTATGCAGTATGATGAAAAGCAGGTGAGAGTTGTTTAAATGAAGACTTGCATTTGAATATTTAGGTGACTGTTATGTGAAGGCTAGATGTAGATCAGACAACTTCTTCGATATACTCCATTCCTCCTCGTTCTCCTCCTACCAACAGAGTTGAAGGATGGAAGGACTGGTTAATGTCAAAGCATGGGTTATAATAAAAGAACACACCACCTAACTTTACCATCAGCCAAAGTGAAAAGGATTGGTTAAGTAGGAGGCGGTGGAAAGTGGGACAGTGGTAGAAATAATACATTAATCATTTAAATGTACATTATTTAAAAAATATTTTATACACAATAGTGTGTGTGTGTGTGTGTGTGTGTGTGTGTGTATATATATATATATGGGGGGTGTGTGTGTGTGTGTGTGTGTATATATATATATACACATATATGTGTGTGTGTGTGTGTATATGTATAACCATATATATACCATATATATATATGGTTTAATTAAAAACAAATTAAAGATTTGACTTGTCCCTGCCCCACAAAAATTGTCAAACCATTTTACATTGGGTAAAGTTAAGTGTGTAAGTGATGTTACTGTTAAACTATCGTACGGACTTTAACCTGTCCTGTATTTTAACTGCACTAAAGCTTTTACTGCATTTTATTCAATGACTAATGCAAAATGCATAAATATCATTGGGAGTTGGGCCAAAACCAAGAGCTCTCTTACTTTTTTTTAGTGAAGTGCCTGCCTCTGCTTGGTTGTGGAAACAGGCTACATCTTGCTTGTTCGGTGAGCATCTCCCCTAGGACAGTTGGGTGCTCCATCATCTGGGATCACAGTGTGCAGGCACCTTTATCAGATGCCTGGGGGACAGAAATTTGCACCTGCCACCGTGCTTAGCATTTGATTTGGCTGCCTTAGGGGACTCCCTGCTCAATGCTTATGTGCCCTGGATGTGCTTAAGACTGCTCAGCAAGAGAAGAGTGCCAAACGTATCCCATGGGCAGAAAAAGATTGGCCTCTGGAAGTGCATAAAAAAAGTTTTACCAACTTCAGTTAAAATTATGGCAACCCCTTAAAAATGAAATGTAAGAAAAGATGGTTGCTTTGCACTTTGTTTTCTGGACCTTTTCACATAAACTTTTAACATTTTTTTCAAGTTGCAAGCTAGAAGCTTTTTCAGCAAAAGCTGAGATACATATGTAGTCTCAACTCCAGGACCTACAGTCTTAAGAAAACATTAAATGTTCTGAAACTTGGGGGAGGAAAGTGACTGATTATCATGTGAGTTTGGAATGCTGTAATAATAGCCATCTTTTTATTATGAGTGAAAGTACCCTGGAGGAAAAACAAGATTAAATCTTTGGGTTTATTTTTTTAAGACGTCATCAAAGACATTAAATCTAAATGAAACTTTTATTTGATGGCAACTGTCATCATTTGTATACAGCAAGGACCTTTTAATTTAGATGTGGTTAAAAGTGAAGTAAATTGGGACTTGAATCTTTTTATGACTTCTGTGAATACATGCTTGTACCTTCTCAATAATTTTCTGTTCCTTTGCTTTTTGCTAGGGTCAAAGTTTTCTTGCAGCACTTTTTTAGATTGAATTGTAGACTTTTTCAAATCACTACCTCTGCTCCTACTTTAACTTTTGTTGTGATTGATAGATGTTTGCTTCTCTCATAATTGCTCATCAGCTGTTAACCCTAACTTAAGTGACCAGTTCGAGTTTGAGTAACTGGGCATGTCTACATGAGATGCTAAAGGCACAGTAGACTAATTCTACTGTGTCTTAGTGGGGCAGGCAAAACCTGTGCTAGTGTGCAGTTTTGTACCCTCCACTCACTATAAATTAAACTTCGCTTTAAAGAATTAACCTACAGAGCTACTGAGCATTAGTGCTCAGCAGCTCTGATTACAGCATATTAAGTTAAGTGCCTGTAATTACAGGTACTAACTTAATGCACTGTAATTACGGCACATCAGTTGAGTGTGTAGACTTGCCCACTAGGTAGTAAAAGTAGTTGCCTTCTATGATGTCTCCCAGAATGAATGTCGGCATTGTCCCAACAATATAGAGTACAGATCTTGCCTTGAAATGTTGGCTTTCTCTAGGGAAGGTAACAAAGCATTAGAGAAAGGGATAAAACAGAGTCTGGATTGTTCTTTGACTCTCTAGGTTAATTCTTTAAAGCAAAGTTTAATTTAGAGTGAGTGGAGGGTAAAAGACACATTCTAAATAAATAATTAAAAGATTATAAACACAACATGTGTGAATGTTGGTAATGGAAGAACTAACAGAGTTCTGAACAATTTTAGAATAGGATGCAAGGTAAATTAGTTTTAGAAAGCCCTTTTTTCAGGTGCTTACTGCCAGCCTTAGGTGGCAGTAAGCTTACAGGTGCTTACTGCCAGCCTTTTGTGCATTAGTGCCCTATAAAGCTGTGGCATCTCGTTTGGCTCTGCTCTCTTCTATATTCATTCTCTCTGTATTTCTCCGTCTCTCTGTCCCCTTTGCTATGGTGAAGATATTGCCCAGTTACATTCACCATTGTTTTGAATTCTTTTCTGCTTGCATCCTTGCATGTGTGAAATAAATATAATCTATGCGATCCTATTCTTATACCCTACAAAATGTTGCTTTTCCTATGGAAGTGTTTATGTGAATATTATGTTGTCTTTGAATCCAAAATGGAACCAATCCCTGCTTTAGATTTTGTTTTAAAAAAGAAGAAAGAAAAACTATAAACCCCAAACTCTTTAATTTGTATAATTATTGTAATTGAAGTTTGCACGCATTATAAGGAGAGAGATTTTCTTTGGGACAGTAAGGTGTAGACTTTAGGTCTTAAAAACTGTTTTACAGGAATATCTGAGCTTTTCTACTAGATAAAAGGATGGTTGGATATTAAAATAAAATATAATGTGGAGTGGAGTTGCAAGAATGGTTCAATGCAGGTTTTAAAATGCTTGATTTAACTGAGACCATAAAACATTTAATTCTGAAAATATATGTTAAATGTTAGCAACTCATATGCTATGCATTATGGCTCGGACGTTCAAAGCACTTGGGCCTTGTTAAAACAGGAATGCAGCTGAGACAGTACCGAGTGCTTCTGAGAAATCCCACACTGTAGATTTCTCAGTTCTCTGTGTGTTCAGCTACCTTCAATTCAGTGTGCCTAGAGACGAGAGTGTATTTGTAAGAGTTCATTTTCCACTGTCTTTTCCACTGTGCAGTTGAAACATGTAAGCTACACTTCTATTGCTGGGGATGTTATGAGGGAAGGCTCTCTTTCTCTAGAAGTTGCTAGCTGTGTTCTAAAATTAACAACTAAATGGTACACATCCAATGCTGATCTCTTTGTAAAGATGTGTAACAAATGTTTGTATTATTTTGGCTAATGTGGAACCCTGGCTATTGCAGTTGAGTAGTAACAGCTTATTGCTATTTTTGTAATTTAGTCCATAGAGGAGAAACTCGCTTTGGCTCAGGAGGATTTGATTTCAAGCAGGAATCAAATTAGTAGTCATAATCAGTTGATCCAAGAACTTAAGAAAATGCAGTCTAACCTGGAACAGGATGTGTCAAAGAAAGAACAGCACCTGGAGGAGCAGAAAAAAATGTTGCAAGAAATCCAGAAAGACAAGGTATCTTGCTTATCTACCTCTTTCCTCTTTTCCTTTTCTAATTTAAACTTATTTAAAGATACATTAAAATTTCTCAGTGTGCGCTATGGTAGTTTATATTTATGTTTAAAGCTGTTTATTGGACCACTGATATTGAAAGATTTTAAATATTTGAAATGATAGTCTAATTCAAACCAAAGTTGGCAAAATTTAATTTACTGTAAGATTCAAATAAACAGATTTCTGGTTTTAAAGATAAATCGTCAATATAGTACTCAAACGATAGGTTTTTCTCTCTAAGTTGGTTGTGAGCAGAGAGATATGGCAGTTATGTTTTATCAGAAATCTTTACAAAGATACATTTCCCCCAAACATTAATTTTGGAACTATTCTCTTGAGTGTGTTCTTTATTTTTTTGGACTCTTTTTGTGAAGGTTTTGAAAGAAAAAGATTTGGCAAACGAAAAATGTAAAACAACAGAACTCCAGGAAATAAAAAACAGGCTAGAAAAAGAGACTGCTAGACTGAATGAAGAGCTTAGAACCTACAAGCAAGAATTGCAGAAGGTATGTGGAGATTGCACCTCCAGGTAGTGAGGTGGAAGTGGAAGAATATGCACTAATATGACATGAATAAATTGTAATTCTCTGTTTGCTTTGTGAATAGAGTGGTATTAAGTAATCACCCTGTTTTTCTGTTCTGTTAAGTGGCCTCCCAAAGGTTAAAAAACAGTACTGACTCAGTAATAATCAAGGATCCGGGTTTTCCGTTCACCATGGAAAAACATGATAAAACCCAGATTTTCTCATTTTAAGGAGAAAAAGGTGGGAAATAGTGGGTTTCCCCTTGTAGGCAGGCAGAGTTCCAGCTGTGGGGAATGGGAGGAGTGCAGTCAGGCAGGAGGTGCCATGTGCATGTGTGTGCTTACACATTCACATGGCAGCCTGGAGAGCTGCTCCCCACAGGTAAGTCTGGTGGGGGAGTTTTGAGGCCCCTCATAGTGAGGAAGGAAGTTGAGCGGGACTGAGGCTGCTGCTCAGCCTGGCTGGTGCGTGTCGCCTGGGGCCAGAATGTGTGGCTGCAGGGCCCGGGTATAGAGCAGGACAGAGCAGTGGGCGGGTTGTCTGGGGGGCAGCAGGGGGGCTGGCTCCCTGCTGCTACTCCCAGAAGGCTCATGGGGGGCACGTGCTCTTCAGATTTGTGCACCCTGTTGTCCTCCCCAGGGGGCCTCCACAGCCCAGCAGGTAAAACTTGGTGGGGCAGGGCAGGGAAACTCAGTGCCACCTCTGAGCCCTGTATTACCATGGTGAGGCTCCCTCTTCCTGCCTGGCACTAACAGGGTGGCAGCGCAGAGTTGTGCCCTTCGCTGCTGCTGGACAGGCATAGGGCACCTCAGCTTGGCAGCTCAGGGCTCACAGCGGCGGCACCAAGTTTCTCTGCCCAGGCCCACTCTGCCCTGCCATGTGGAATCCCGCCCCCTGGGCTGCTGAGGCCCCAGGGGGAGGGCAGCAGGGCGGGCAGCCTGCATCCCTCTGGCCCCTGGGCTCTGCACTGGCTGTGCTGCCTGTGGGGGAGCGGGAGCCAGGCTCTATGCTCCACTCTCCTGCAGCAGCCACCACCTCTCGCAGGTGGCATCCAGGGCTTGGTTGTTGCGCGGGACGGGGGGCTGCAGATGTGGGTATCTGGCCCCATAGCTCTGGCAGGGCTGGGGGGTGGGGGCCATGGGTGGGGAGCAAGGGGCAGCAGCAAGGCCCAGGAGGGTGTGGGTGGCAAGTGAGAGGCACTGGCAGGCCTTGGGGGGCTGTGGGTGGGGAGTGTGGGGCACCAGCAGGGCCCAGGGAGCTGTCATTGGGGAATGAGGGGCACCAGCAGGGCTGGGAGGCTATGGGTCCAGGAGCAAGGGGCAATGGCATGGGCAGGGCACTAGCATACCGGGGCTGCTCAGCTCCACAAAGCTGGACTCTCATGCTGGTGAACAAAAGGGGCAGGGGAGCTCTGATTTTTCCATGATAAAAAACCCCAAATCAAACATCAAAGTTTATGGGTATTTAAAATGTATTTTATTATAGTGATTGAGGCACTGGTAGGCTTCCGAATTGTTTTAAAATTGTAAATATGTCAATAAAACATTGTGTTCAACGGATACTTATATGTACATGGTGTTTATAAAGTCCCTGTGCAACTTCAAACATTAATAACTTTGGATGTACAAATAATAGAAGCAAACTGTAAATGGCAATTGAAAGCAGAATTCATTAATTTTTAACACAATGCAGCTAAAAGTTCCAGACTTCAACATGACCACCATCTTTCGTGATACATTGTTCAATCCAATTTTCCAACTAATTTTGGAAGTTATTTTCCTTTTCAGTTACGGGGCCTGAAATAAAATGAAAACAAAATGATGCTTACATTATGCTAAAAAAACAAACTTAATGAATTATGCTTTCACTTGCCGTTCACAGTTTGCGTCTGTCATGTGTGTATCCAAAATTATTACGGTTTAAAGTTGTACAAGGACTTTATAAACACCCTGTATAGTGGCATTTCATTGTAATCCTGGACAAATGTGGATTTGGGGGGTTTTAACCAGAGGATTTGCAGGGTTTTTAAAATATGAGAATTTGTGATTTTTAAATAGAGAAAAGCAGTATCCCTGGTAACAATCCAGGTCTCCCGAGTGCTTTTACATAGTCTCCACCTCTCTCTTTCTCTCCTTTTTTTTTTTTTTTTTTTTTTTTTAAGCGAGATTCTTAAGTGATTACTTTACTAGGTTTCGTTTAAGGTATTTAACAAAGGATAGGAAATGAGGCAGCTTCTTTGTGTGTGCTCCAACTATTCAGAAGTTGGAGCATTTCGCAGTGTTTCTCTTCTCGCTTTCC